GACCTCAACGTCTTCAACCTCTCTGTGGTAAGGCATGCATTCCACTGTCAATCTACCTTGAAAACAGCAGCACAATCTTTGCAACTTGGACAGTCTGTACACCGGGGTGATTTTTCCATGTCAAAGAGAAAAGCAATCCATATATTCTCTTTGTTTGTGTCATCAGGTGGCACTTGTGGACTCCCTGTCCCCAGACCAGAAGGCTGAGCTGATCCTGGATCCAGACAGCCACGCTTTGGAGGATGAGGCCATCATAAGGGAGGTGTTCACAAGCTTGACAAAGTCCCATGATAACGAGCAGCTCAATCAGTTTTTCCAGGCTTTTGCAAGCATCAGCGAGCAGGTGAGTGCTTAACATTTAAGCCTGCCATATTTTCCCAGAAAGCTGGCCGACAAACCGGCCGTGTAGAACTCACCGTGGGCTCAAAGAATTTTTGCAGAAGCTAAAAAGGGGCCCCGGTTTTTGACTCAAAGCGATACATTTCTGATATGCTTTGTGAATGAAGCGCTGCCAACGATGCCTCGAGTCATGCCTCTGATGCACTAAAGTACAAAGATGTGTCACCAAGCTTGCCCTCATTTCTACAAGGATTTCAGGAAGGTAAAATGTCCGCATGAACTAATACGGGAATCCTTTTATTTGCAGAGAAACATCACCATCATCAAAAATCAAGGTGTACGAGACACCATCTTGAACCTGACCTTGACAGCCCTTGCCGGTGAATTTGAAGACTTTGAGCCTAAAGACTTTGAGCTGTGGTTCCAGGTCTATTTGGCTCCCGTGATGGCGAGCCTCCAGCCTGGCAGCTTGGTGGTGATCCCCAGTAACATCAGCTGCGCATCCTACGAAGCTATGTAAGAGATATTTCAGAGGTCCACACTTAGACATTTTGGGTTTTCATGATGTCAAACTGTGGCTTCAGGCAAGTAACGATTACTTCTGTTTTCTGCCTTCAGACTCACTGGTCTTCTGCAAAGTTTGAAATCCCTGCCTCCGACCCTTTCACATGGCGTGAGCGCAAGCATACAGTCACTCAAGGAGACATTCGCACGTACGTGGCAAAATGCTCTGCTGACAAACTTTTTCACAAAAGCCGATTACCGCTGCCTTGATGATAGCTGTATTGATGCCATGCTTTCGTTTCAATTTTCCCTCAAACAGGTTGCACAGTTCCAGATTCCTTCGTGGTAAGTTCACTTCTATGGGTGTACTCCGTGGATTATACAATATTTGATCAAAATTGACAAGACACAAGTCTGGCACATTCATTTTGGTAGGGAGGCCACGCTAAGGTACTTTAAGTAGCTCATGCCACTAGACTAACATTTGCGCTTTACTTGTCTCCAGTGCAAAGAGACCCCGATTGATGGTAAGTCTGTAAAATACCAGAAGTTTCAACTTTGATGACACAATGACATTCTGAAGGTACAATGTCTGATACACCAATATTGTCTTTTCGCAGAGGCCCTCATCTGTGCTGCGGTCAACAGGTAGGTGAATTACTGTTTGGTCGGGGCTGAGTTTGCGTGGCTAAAGTTGTTTTACACAGTCTAACTAAAGTTACAATGGTTTTCTTTTTGTTGTTTTCCTCAGTTCACAACTGGAACAAACCCTGTCTACTGGCAATTCCTCTGAAGCCCTGTGCAATTTTACCATCACTGAGCTTGCCTGTTCCTCGGTAAGATGGTTTGATGTAAGCTGTAAATCCCAGAGAAAGATTTAGCTTGAGCTACACTGTTGTCCAGAGACAAATCTCCCTGAGCTCTGAGAGAGTCTTTGCTTTATTTTTTTCTGTCAACATTTTCTCCTAAGGCTACACACCTCACATCCAGCAACCTGGTCACACTGATGAAATGCTCACTGCAAAGCCAAAGGACATACCCGGTAGAGGTCTGGAAGCTTCTCTTCCAAAAAGCTTCTACTGCACTAGACCAGGCTCTCCAGACCTTCGCCACCATGGTAACTCCAATGCCACAATTTCACAAAACTGGTGTTTCCTTGCGTGAATTCTGTGTCCAACCAAAAGTCATTTTCCAACTGCAGGCCCCCAACAACAGCAATCCAGCCATGTCACCTGCTCTTGAGGCTCTTGGGGAGCTGAGAATTGCAAACTTCAGCCAGGCACAACTGCAGAGTGATGCCTTTGTCAGATTCTGGTTCCAGACAGAGCTTGGTCCGTTTCTGGCCTCTGCATCCCCCAACTTCCTATTCTGCCTTAGCTCCAAGAACTTCAGCTGCCATACGTACCAGACAGTGTAAGTAAATATTGATAGTTTGCTCCAAAGTGAACAAGATTGCAGAGGGAGCGGCAGTTTTCTAGTTGCTTAGACGTTTAAAAGCTTTCTCTCAAATTTTAGCATCCAGGCATTCAGCAGCCGAAGCGTATCCATGGACAGAGAAACACAACAAGCCGTCTTCACTAATTTCATCAAACCGTTCCTTTCAAGAAATGACTCGTCAGGTAAAGGCAAGCGCTCAGGTTCAGTTTGGTAAAGTCTTGATAGCGTGTGGTGCTAACACCCTGCCAATGTCTTTGCTTCTGTCTTCTTTGCAGATCCTGGCTGTGTCTCATTTACCAGAGGGAGTAAAGATTGGCTCCTGGCAAACCTTGGCAGCTTCTCTGGCTTTGCAACCCTACAGGATTTGCAAGCCCTCAATCCCAACTTCTCCAGCGTAAGTAGCACCTGCAGTTGTAGTATTCTTCTCCCAAACTGAAATGGCTGACCTATGGATCTGCAATTACTGCTGTCTGATTTGCTATTGATCCCCCTCTGTAGGCCGAAGCGTTGTCAGTGCTCACTCCTACTCAGGTGGCACAGTTGACACTGAGTTCAGGGGCCTCGACCGACACAGACCAAATCGACCGTGTGTTTGAGCGACTTGAGGAGGGCAATGCTCTGGAAAATGTGGATGAATTCCTGACACAGCTGACAGCAAACGGAAAGGTAGGCTGCTCGTGACACTCAGGGAAGAAGCACAATCCTGGGCTATAAAACGAGCATAGTCTGTACTCAGATATGGATGTAAACCTTGAAATCGGTTGTGGTGGACACGGTCGTATCAAATATTTTGTTGCATGCTTTCCAGCGTCCTGTATGGTGTACTTGCTACGTGGAAACAGTGTGGTGTTGAAATCCTCTAATGTCATAATTTGACAGGTCCCTGACTTCCAACCTGTCGTGAGAGATCGTATAATGAATAGGACCTTCGCCATCATCAGTCCCCATTTCCAGAACTTCAAGGAAGATGACTGGTTTGCTTGGTTCCATCTGAAACTGGTCCTTGTCCTCCCAAGTTTCACTCCAATGATGCTCGAGAACGCAACCTCAAACATAAACTGCACAAACTACCATGTTGTGTGAGTAGCATTTCACCAACAAGCAAGATTCCATTGCACCAAAGTACAAAACGGTAATGAGGGACAGCGTAAGAATGTTTCTTTTCACCCTGTGCAGAGTGAGTGGGCTGGCCGGAGCTTTCCGCGCTATGCCGTTACATAGACGACAAGGAATCGCAGACGTTCTGCTGGGCTACTTGAGAAAATCTGCCGGTGTCATCAACAAACCGGGTAGGTCTGACAAAGGAAACTGCGTCGTGTGGTTGCTTGTGTAGGCTTGCCCATGGACTTATTTGTGAAAAAAAAAAAAAAGTTCTGAAATGGCAGTGAGAGGACAACTGGCACTTACGTATGCTAACATCCATTTACGTGCTTTAGTTTGCAGGCAGGAAATTGACAATGATGCAGAATGGCTTGAAGCAAACTTGGGTCCATTTTCCCTGTACACAACATACTCTGACCTCAACGTCTTCAACCTCTCTGTGGTAAGGCATGCATTCCACTGTCAATCTACCTTGAAAACAGCAGCACAATCTTTGCAACTTGGACAGTCTGTACACCGGGGTGATTTTTCCATGTCAAAGAGAAAAGCAATCCATATATTCTCTTTGTTTGTGTCATCAGGTGGCACTTGTGGACTCCCTGTCCCCAGACCAGAAGGCTGAGCTGATCCTGGATCCAGACAGCCACGCTTTGGAGGATGAGGCCATCATAAGGGAGGTGTTCACAAGCTTGACAAAGTCCCATGATAACGAGCAGCTCAATCAGTTTTTCCAGGCTTTTGCAAGCATCAGCGAGCAGGTGAGTGCTTAACATTTAAGCCTGCCATATTTTCCCAGAAAGCTGGCCGACAAACCGGCCGTGTAGAACTCACCGTGGGCTCAAAGAATTTTTGCAGAAGCTAAAAAGGGGCCCCGGTTTTTGACTCAAAGCGATACATTTCTGATATGCTTTGTGAATGAAGCGCTGCCAACGATGCCTCGAGTCATGCCTCTGATGCACTAAAGTACAAAGATGTGTCACCAAGCTTGCCCTCATTTCTACAAGGATTTCAGGAAGGTAAAATGTCCGCATGAACTAATACGGGAATCCTTTTATTTGCAGAGAAACATCACCATCATCAAAAATCAAGGTGTACGAGACACCATCTTGAACCTGACCTTGACAGCCCTTGCCGGTGAATTTGAAGACTTTGAGCCTAAAGACTTTGAGCTGTGGTTCCAGGTCTATTTGGCTCCCGTGATGGCGAGCCTCCAGCCTGGCAGCTTGGTGGTGATCCCCAGTAACATCAGCTGCGCATCCTACGAAGCTATGTAAGAGATATTTCAGAGGTCCACACTTAGACATTTTGGGTTTTCATGATGTCAAACTGTGGCTTCAGGCAAGTAACGATTACTTCTGTTTTCTGCCTTCAGACTCACTGGTCTTCTGCAAAGTTTGAAATCCCTGCCTCCGACCCTTTCACATGGCGTGAGCGCAAGCATACAGTCACTCAAGGAGACATTCGCACGTACGTGGCAAAATGCTCTGCTGACAAACTTTTTCACAAAAGCCGATTACCGCTGCCTTGATGATAGCTGTATTGATGCCATGCTTTCGTTTCAATTTTCCCTCAAACAGGTTGCACAGTTCCAGATTCCTTCGTGGTAAGTTCACTTCTATGGGTGTACTCCGTGGATTATACAATATTTGATCAAAATTGACAAGACACAAGTCTGGCACATTCATTTTGGTAGGGAGGCCACGCTAAGGTACTTTAAGTAGCTCATGCCACTAGACTAACATTTGCGCTTTACTTGTCTCCAGTGCAAAGAGACCCCGATTGATGGTAAGTCTGTAAAATACCAGAAGTTTCAACTTTGATGACACAATGACATTCTGAAGGTACAATGTCTGATACACCAATATTGTCTTTTCGCAGAGGCCCTCATCTGTGCTGCGGTCAACAGGTAGGTGAATTACTGTTTGGTCCGGGGCTGAGTTTGCGTGGCTAAAGTTGTTTTACACAGTCTAACTAAAGTTACAATGGTTTTCTTTTTGTTGTTTTCCTCAGTTCACAACTGGAACAAACCCTGTCTACTGGCAATTCCTCTGAAGCCCTGTGCAATTTTACCATCACTGAGCTTGCCTGTTCCTCGGTAAGATGGTTTGATGTAAGCTGTAAATCCCAGAGAAAGATTTAGCTTGAGCTACACTGTTGTCCAGAGACAAATCTCCCTGAGCTCTGAGAGAGTCTTTGCTTTATTTTTTTTCTGTCAACATTTTCTCCTAAGGCTACACACCTCACATCCAGCAACCTGGTCACACTGATGAAATGCTCACTGCAAAGCCAAAGGACATACCCGGTAGAGGTCTGGAAGCTTCTCTTCCAAAAAGCTTCTACTGCACTAGACCAGGCTCTCCAGACCTTCGCCACCATGGTAACTCCAATGCCACAATTTCACAAAACTGGTGTTTCCTTGCGTGAATTCTGTGTCCAACCAAAAGTCATTTTCCAACTGCAGGCCCCCAACAACAGCAATCCAGCCATGTCACCTGCTCTTGAGGCTCTTGGGGAGCTGAGAATTGCAAACTTCAGCCAGGCACAACTGCAGAGTGATGCCTTTGTCAGATTCTGGTTCCAGACAGAGCTTGGTCCGTTTCTGGCCTCTGCATCCCCCAACTTCCTATTCTGCCTTAGCTCCAAGAACTTCAGCTGCCATACGTACCAGACAGTGTAAGTAAATATTGATAGTTTGCTCCAAAGTGAACAAGATTGCAGAGGGAGCGGCAGTTTTCTAGTTGCTTAGACGTTTAAAAGCTTTCTCTCAAATTTTAGCATCCAGGCATTCAGCAGCCGAAGCGTATCCATGGACAGAGAAACACAACAAGCCGTCTTCACTAATTTCATCAAACCGTTCCTTTCAAGAAATGACTCGTCAGGTAAAGGCAAGCGCTCAGGTTCAGTTTGGTAAAGTCTTGATAGCGTGTGGTGCTAACACCCTGCCAATGTCTTTGCTTCTGTCTTCTTTGCAGATCCTGGCTGTGTCTCATTTACCAGAGGGAGTAAAGATTGGCTCCTGGCAAACCTTGGCAGCTTCTCTGGCTTTGCAACCCTACAGGATTTGCAAGCCCTCAATCCCAACTTCTCCAGCGTAAGTAGCACCTGCAGTTGTAGTATTCTTCTCCCAAACTGAAATGGCTGACCTATGGATCTGCAATTACTGCTGTCTGATTTGCTATTGATCCCCCTCTGTAGGCCGAAGCGTTGTCAGTGCTCACTCCTACTCAGGTGGCACAGTTGACACTGAGTTCAGGGGCCTCGACCGACACAGACCAAATCGACCGTGTGTTTGAGCGACTTGAGGAGGGCAATGCTCTGGAAAATGTGGATGAATTCCTGACACAGCTGACAGCAAACGGAAAGGTAGGCTGCTCGTGACACTCAGGGAAGAAGCACAATCCTGGGCTATAAAACGAGCATAGTCTGTACTCAGATATGGATGTAAACCTTGAAATCGGTTGTGGTGGACACGGTCGTATCAAATATTTTGTTGCATGCTTTCCAGCGTCCTGTATGGTGTACTTGCTACGTGGAAACAGTGTGGTGTTGAAATCCTCTAATGTCATAATTTGACAGGTCCCTGACTTCCAACCTGTCGTGAGAGATCGTATAATGAATAGGACCTTCGCCATCATCAGTCCCCATTTCCAGAACTTCAAGGAAGATGACTGGTTTGCTTGGTTCCATCTGAAACTGGTCCTTGTCCTCCCAAGTTTCACTCCAATGATGCTCGAGAACGCAACCTCAAACATAAACTGCACAAACTTCCATGTTGTGTGAGTAGCATTTCACCAACAAGCAAGATTCCATTGCACCAAAGTACAAAACGGTAATGAGGGACAGCGTAAGAATGTTTCTTTTCACCCTGTGCAGAGTGAGTGGGCTGGCCGGAGCTTTCCGCGCTATGCCGTTACATAGACGACAAGGAATCGCAGACGTTCTGCTGGGCTACTTGAGAAAATCTGCCGGTGTCATCAACAAACCGGGTAGGTCTGACAAAGGAAACTGCGTCGTGTGGTTGCTTGTGTAGGCTTGCCCATGGACTTATTTGTGAAAAAAAAAAAAAAGTTCTGAAATGGCAGTGAGAGGACAACTGGCACTTACGTATGCTAACATCCATTTACGTGCTTTAGTTTGCAGGCAGGAAATTGACAATGATGCAGAATGGCTTGAAGCAAACTTGGGTCCATTTTCCCTGTACACAACATACTCTGACCTCAACGTCTTCAACCTCTCTGTGGTAAGGCATGCATTCCACTGTCAATCTACCTTGAAAACAGCAGCACAATCTTTGCAACTTGGACAGTCTGTACACCGGGGTGATTTTTCCATGTCAAAGAGAAAAGCAATCCATATATTCTCTTTGTTTGTGTCATCAGGTGGCACTTGTGGACTCCCTGTCCCCAGACCAGAAGGCTGAGCTGATCCTGGATCCAGACAGCCACGCTTTGGAGGATGAGGCCATCATAAGGGAGGTGTTCACAAGCTTGACAAAGTCCCATGATAACGAGCAGCTCAATCAGTTTTTCCAGGCTTTTGCAAGCATCAGCGAGCAGGTGAGTGCTTAACATTTAAGCCTGCCATATTTTCCCAGAAAGCTGGCCGACAAACCGGCCGTGTAGAACTCACCGTGGGCTCAAAGAATTTTTGCAGAAGCTAAAAAGGGGCCCCGGTTTTTGACTCAAAGCGATACATTTCTGATATGCTTTGTGAATGAAGCGCTGCCAACGATGCCTCGAGTCATGCCTCTGATGCACTAAAGTACAAAGATGTGTCACCAAGCTTGCCCTCATTTCTACAAGGATTTCAGGAAGGTAAAATGTCCGCATGAACTAATACGGGAATCCTTTTATTTGCAGAGAAACATCACCATCATCAAAAATCAAGGTGTACGAGACACCATCTTGAACCTGACCTTGACAGCCCTTGCCGGTGAATTTGAAGACTTTGAGCCTAAAGACTTTGAGCTGTGGTTCCAGGTCTATTTGGCTCCCGTGATGGCGAGCCTCCAGCCTGGCAGCTTGGTGGTGATCCCCAGTAACATCAGCTGCGCATCCTACGAAGCTATGTAAGAGATATTTCAGAGGTCCACACTTAGACATTTTGGGTTTTCATGATGTCAAACTGTGGCTTCAGGCAAGTAACGATTACTTCTGTTTTCTGCCTTCAGACTCACTGGTCTTCTGCAAAGTTTGAAATCCCTGCCTCCGACCCTTTCACATGGCGTGAGCGCAAGCATACAGTCACTCAAGGAGACATTCGCACGTACGTGGCAAAATGCTCTGCTGACAAACTTTTTCACAAAAGCCGATTACCGCTGCCTTGATGATAGCTGTATTGATGCCATGCTTTCGTTTCAATTTTCCCTCAAACAGGTTGCACAGTTCCAGATTCCTTCGTGGTAAGTTCACTTCTATGGGTGTACTCCGTGGATTATACAATATTTGATCAAAATTGACAAGACACAAGTCTGGCACATTCATTTTGGTAGGGAGGCCACGCTAAGGTACTTTAAGTAGCTCATGCCACTAGACTAACATTTGCGCTTTACTTGTCTCCAGTGCAAAGAGACCCGATTGATGGTAAGTCTGTAAAATACCAGAAGTTTCAACTTTGATGACACAATGACATTCTGAAGGTACAATGTCTGATACACCAATATTGTCTTTTCGCAGAGGCCCTCATCTGTGCTGCGGTCAACAGGTAGGTGAATTACTGTTTGGTCCGGGGCTGAGTTTGCGTGGCTAAAGTTGTTTTACACAGTCTAACTAAAGTTACAATTGTTTTCTTTTTGTTGTTTTCCTCAGTTCACAACTGGAACAAACCCTGTCTACTGGCAATTCCTCTGAAGCCCTGTGCAATTTTACCATCGCTGAGCTTGCCTGTTCCTCGGTAAGATGGTTTGATGTAAGCTGTAAATCCCAGAGAAAGATTTAGCTTGAGCTACACTGTTGTCCAGAGACAAATCTCCCTGAGCTCTGAGAGAGTCTTTGCTTTATTTTTTTTCTGTCAACATTTTCTCCTAAGGCTACACACCTCACATCCAGCAACCTGGTCACACTGATGAAATGCTCACTGCAAAGCCAAAGGACATACCCGGTAGAGGTCTGGAAGCTTCTCTTCCAAAAAGCTTCTACTGCACTAGACCAGGCTCTCCAGACCTTCGCCACCATGGTAACTCCAATGCCACAATTTCACAAAACTGGTGTTTCCTTGCGTGAATTCTGTGTCCAACCAAAAGTCATTTTCCAATTGTAGGCCCCCAACAACAGCAATCCAGCCATGTCACCTGCTCTTGAGGCTCTTGGGGAGCTGAGAATTGCAAACTTCAGCCAGGCACAACTGCAGAGTGATGCCTTTGTCAGATTCTGGTTCCAGACAGAGCTTGGTCCGTTTCTGGCCTCTGCATCCCCCAACTTCCTATTCTGCCTTAGCTCCAAGAACTTCAGCTGCCATACGTACCAGACAGTGTAAGTAAATATTGGATAGTTTGCTCCAAAGTGAACAAGATTGCAGAGGGAGCGGCAGTTTTCTAGTTGCTTAGACGTTTAAAAGCTTTCTCTCAAATTTTAGCATCCAGGCATTCAGCCGCCGAATCGTATCCATGGACAGAGAAACACAACAAGCCGTCTTCACTAATTTCATCAAACCGTTCCTTTCAAGAAATGACTCGTCAGGTAAAGGCAAGCGCTCAGGTTCAGTTTGGTAAAGTCTTGATAGCGTGTGGTGCTAACACCCTGCCAATGTCTTTGCTTCTGTCTTCTTTGCAGATCCTGGCTGTGTCTCATTTACCAGAGGGAGTAAAGATTGGCTCCTGGCAAACCTTGGCAGCTTCTCTGGCTTTGCAACCCTACAGGATTTGCAAGCCCTCAATCCCAACTTCTCCAGCGTAAGTAGCACCTGCAGTTGTAGTATTCTTCTCCCAAACTGAAATGGCTGACCTATGGATCTGCAATTACTGCTGTCTGATTTGCTATTGATCCCCCTCTGTAGGCCGAAGCGTTGTCAGTGCTCACTCCTACTCAGGTGGCACAGTTGACACTGAGTTCAGGGGCCTCGACCGACACAGACCAAATCGACCGTGTGTTTGAGCGACTTGAGGAGGGCAATGCTCTGGAAAATGTGGATGAATTCCTGACACAGCTGACAGCAAACGGAAAGGTAGGCTGCTCGTGACACTCAGGGAAGAAGCACAATCCTGGGCTATAAACCGAGCATAGTCTGTACTCAGATATGTATGTAAACCTTGAAATCGGTTGTGGTGGACGCGGTTGTATCAAATATTTTGTTGCATGCTTTCCAGCGTCCTGTATGGTGTACTTGCTACATGGAAACAGTGTGGTGTTGAAATCCTCTAATGTCATAATTTGACAGGTCCCTGACTTTCAACCTTTTGTGAGAGATCGTATAATGAATAGGACCTTCGCCATCATCAGTCCCCATTTCCAGAACTTCAAGGAAGATGACTGGTTTGCTTGGTTCCATCTGAAACTGGTCCTTGTCCTCCCAAGTTTCACTCCAATGATGCTCAAGAACGCAACCTCAAACATAAACTGCACCAACTACCATGTTGTGTGAGTAGCATTTCACCAACAAGCAGGATTCCATTGCACCAAAGTACAAAACGGTAATGAGGGACAGCGTAAGAATGTTCCTTTTCACCCTGTGCAGAGTGCGTGGGCTGGCCGGAGCTTTCTGCGCTATGCCGTTACATAGACGACAAGGAATCGCAGACGTTCTGCTGGGCTACTTGAGAAAATCTGCCGGTGTCATCAACAAACCGGGTAGGTCTGACAAAGGAAAATGCGTCGTGTGGTTTCTTGTGTGGACTTGTATGTAAAAAAAAAAAGTTCTGAAATGGCAGTGAGAGGACAACTGGCACTTACGTATGCTAACATCCATTTACGTGCTTTAGTTTGCAGGCAGGAAATTGACAATGATGCAGAATGGCTTGAGTCAAACTTGGGTCCATTTTCCCTGTACACAACATACTCTGACCTCAACGTCTTCAACCTCTCTGTGGTAAGTCACACTTTTCAATATCAATCGTTTTTTAAATAATGTATAAAAGTTGGAATTTCTCATTGACAATTGTTTTACTATCTAAGGGACAAGCTTTTCTTATGTCACATATAGCCAAAGCTTCAAACACAGTAATACAAGAGATAGGACCTTTTTGCAGAAAATGTAATAGAGCAGGTTCATTTTAGTGATGTATTGACAATTTCCACTGCGACAAAATCTACAGAGTTATAATAAGTAAGGCAGAAATCAAAACCCAGTCCAACATAAGCAAAGAAAGCCATTGTCTACAGTCCAAAATCCGAAGTCCAGAAACATGCAAGGTCCAAGCAAAAACATATATGATTAAACCAAACAGTGGGAAACTAACACTTGAAATAATGGTTGGATCAGTGAACTGATTCAGAATGAGGGAATCAGACCAACCAAATTCCCTAGTCAGGAGGAGATACAGTTGAACTTTATCAGATAGTCAGCGAGCACACATACAAGTATCAAAGTTTACAGCAACACAAGATGAAGGGTTTACTAACATAAAACAGAATCAAATCCCACAACTGTGACAGTTGACTGTCACCGTTAAAACTCAGTAAGGGGTTGTTGTCAGCTTTACTATTAGTCTAAAAAAAGAGTGCAATAAAGAAAGAAAGACATTGTTTTCAACGAGCTTAGAGCAAGATAAAATGAGTGAGACAGAGGCAATCTAGCATAAGTAAATGAATAGGAGAGAAATAAATAAATAAAATAAATAATTGTAATGGCAGTTTAGTCCTAAAGCAGAAATAAATAGTCTACAGTAGAGACTTGTTCTGGAATTTTCAGTCTTCTTACCACCATTGCATTTGTTCTCTGAATTCATTAATTACATCCAGCTCAAACATTAGTCACAAAACCAAAACCAAATTGAAAGTACTGTACCGTTTTGTTGTGCCACCACTGTTCTTTTAATCCATTATGGGTCTTATTATCATGATCTGGATTATTTTTTATGTGTTTGAAATGCAAACAGGAATGTATAAAGGTGATATCCATATGTAAACTTTGCCTCTTTTTCAAGTTTTTGGTAACCCGATTGGCAGAGTATTCATGAGCGAATGTTTGCATGTGGATCTATGAGAATATGTTGTCAAGCCTATAGAGGCCATTACTTGGGTTCACAAGGTTACAAAGAGTAATGGTTGTCTATATAACTGTAAAAAATGAGAAAGATTTGATTAAAATTGTTAAATATGTTTTTTGTCTTTTATATCTCTCTTAGGTGACAATACTAGACTATCTTTCATCAAGACAAAAAGCTGAATTTCTCCTTGAACCAAACAACTTGTCCAATGAAACCCTTGTGAGACTTGTGTTTACAGAACTTACTGCTCTCTCAACAAGTGTGGAAGACCTTGACTCTTTCTTTGATAATTTTGTCAGAGGTGCTTCAGAGGTGAGTATTTTAATCACATTTAGCTTATGCCTTTTTCCACTAAAACAAAATCTCCTGACAAATTATTAATTTTTTTCTAGCAAAACCTGACAACCATTGACCCAAGAGTGCGTGACACCATTCTAAATCTGACATTGATGGCACTTGCACCAAAACTACCCATGTTAGGTGCTGAGGGAATCAAGTTATGGTTCCAGGTCTATCTACCTCTGTTCCTCCCAAGCATTGGTTCAAGCACATTTGAAGTTATTCCAAGAAATATCCGCTGTGACTCCTTTCAAGAAATGTGAGTGAAATCTCAATTTTCTTTTTGTCATATTGATCAGAAGGGAAGGGAATTAGAGAATGTAAAGATCCTCTTACATATTATGGTGAATGGAAAATTTTTTGTCTTCACAGTGTCAAGGGGTGCGACAATGTTTTCACTCAACTCTCCATGATGCAGACCCAACAGGTTTTCACGTTCATAATGGACTATCTAAGCAGATATTCCTCCTCCGGTAACTTAGTTAGCATAATAAAATAACATTGCATTTGCTACTACTTCTGTGCTGTGAGTGGCATAACATGTCTGGTATGCCATGTTCAATTTAACGACTCAGTTTTTATATTCCCAGGCGTCTCATGTGTTGAATCTGTAATTGAAGACAGACGTTGGCTAGAAGACAACTTTGGTCGGTTCCGTGTGCTTGCCTCGTACATAGATTTTGTGACACTGAACAACAATTTCAATGGAGTAAGTATTGCCTTTTCGTCCTTGTCCAGCCTAAACGATCTGAATCTAAAACACAAATAATTCCTACTTTCCTTGACCAAGGCCTTGACATAGATCTAGAATTGGTCTCTAAATCTTTGCCAGTCTGCACAGTCTCCAAAGAGGAGAATCCTCTGGAACCCCACAAATTGGAGACAGCTCCGAATTTCTTACATATTATACTCCAAGAATAACCAAAACACACAGCCAAAACAGTTAGCTTGTTGGTAAGTTGCAACCTGTTGGATGTCAATCACTTATGTGTGTGTGTGTGTGTGTATGCAGGGGTGTACTGGGACTGAAATTCAGCCCGGGACCTCTAGACGGACCGGCCTTTTATGCAAACTTTCTCCTCTTTCTGCTCCTCCTCTTCCTTCTCTCCCTGCCATTCAACATGGCTGGGGTCATCATCACCCTGTCTCTCTCCATCACCTCCACTGACCTTAACAGCTAATATAAATTCAAACATACAGAGATTACTTGCTTATAGAAGGATGTTGTCTTTGTGCGATAACACATTGCAAACTGTTGTTTATAATATGGGCTATATAAATATATATCCTAATATATGTCTGTACATAAATGCAAAAATAAAAAAAATCAGTATATAATAAATGCATTAGCCTCCTAATTATGCACCTGTCTCTGCCTGTGCAGGGTCCTGCTCACCTGCTACAGCAATCTTTCTGCCAAGAAGTCGGTGAATTTGGCACATTTAGTTACCTCTTAACATTTGGCACCACACATTTCTTTTCCCTCTTTCTCTCTTTTCACCACATTTACCATCTCTCTTGCACCTATCACACAACCCAGCGCTGAGTTCAGCCCCGACAAAACGTTTGGAGATTGAACGTGCCCCAGATGAAAAGTAAACTTTGATCTGCGCCGTTGAGCCAATCAAATTTCAGCAAAAACGAAGATCGGTCCAAGTTGAGAGGTATCGCTTGTATCCCCCCTATATATTGAAAGTATTGGTTTGGCCCAGTCTGTTAGACTCACAGGCAGCTTCGCTGCAGAAACTGAAAATAAAAACTTGTGACCCCCAGCCTGAAATGGACCGGCGGTTCAGGAACACTCCCAAACTCCACAATGACCAGTCTGCCCCTGTTTGTGTGTGTGTGTATGTGTGCGTGTGTGTGTGTGTGTGTGTGTGGACAGAAATTCTGCTGCAGTCAGAGTGCGTGTGTAAAGGGGGCAAGACAAGGACAAAATAAGGATAAACTAACCAAAGCTACATTCGATACAACTATTAAACACTAAATACTTGCAGTTCAGCTGCAACAATTACTTCAATCAGGTCTGCATAGTAACCTTTAG